CCGCCGCCCGGCTCCACGGTCCTCTCCGCGAGCTGCGCGGCTCCAGCGCCAGCTCCCGGCGGGAACGCTGGCAAAGCCGTTTTGAAATCCCGAAGTTGCCGGCTGCAGGGGGTACCCACGTGTAGGAACTTTTACTAGTAACTGTGAGATGGCATTCCAAGACGGGAGGCAGCGCTGTGGCCAGGAAAAGAAGGGGCCCAGGAGTGGGAACCGGTTTCTCCCTGCGCGCATCAAATGCCCTGCCACGCTTCATGTTCTCCATCTGGAAGAAACGACCTTGACAACTTCTAGGAGCTCTACTAAGCTCTGAATGTGTGACGCTAAGATTTTTTTTCAGTCTGACTTTTGTGATCAGAAGTTTCAAATGGTCTGAAGTCGCTCAACATAGGCTACCAGTCGATTCATCTGTCCTCACAATCCTAGAAGAAAACTCAGTTATGGCTTGTCTGCCATGAACCGGTTACTGCTTCCAGATGGATGCTAGCGTTTGAGTCTAGAACAGTCCTGCAGAGAATGTGTTATATCTCCACAGCTATCCCCACAGACACCAGATTTCTGAATAGAGAGGCATCCTGAGGTCGTGGAAACTGAGCAGGCTCAGAATGCATAGAACCCCCAATGTACCAGCAATTCCACTGAATAACTACGCGATTCTAGGAATGTTGTTGTCTACTTGTCTGAGAAATGGGGATCCAAATGTATTCGCCTGTAAAGTTGTGGTATATGTGGAAAGCCTGTAGTAGGTGTTCAGCAAATGGAAACTGTTAATGTTATTGTCAGGTTCACAGGGCAGTTTGGGGATTAAACAGGAAAAGTAATCCCAGTCCTATTCCCTTATACTGAGCTGCCTCTCAGCCTTGTCAACACAGAACTATTGTGACTATTTTGGATGTATCTAGATTCCATTCATACATATAACATTTCCCCTTTATTTTTAGTTTAAAGATAAAATAAAAATGCAGGCCCTAAAAGCCTGGAGCTGGCCTAGCACAGCTACATCGCCATGCTCTCCAGTTAAACATAGACAATGTCACAGAATGCCAACATCAGCCAAGGCCATTGTGACCATGATGAATCAACAAAAACAAGACCACTCATAATCATGTCTGAACACAGAAAAAAACAAACAAAAAAACAAGAGCATTGCCCTAACCGGTTTGGCTCAGTGGATAGAGTGTCGGCCTGCGGACTAAAGGATCCCAGGTTTGATTCCAGTCAAGGGCATGTACCTTGGTTGCGGGCACATCCCCAGTAGGAGGTGTGCAGGAGGCAGTTGATCGATGTTTCTCTCTCATCGATGTTTCTAACTCATGTTCCTCTCCCTTCCTCTCTGTAAAAAACCAATAAAATAAGTTTTTTTAAAAAAACAAACAAAAAATCATGAGCATTGCCTAAACCACAAACATGGCCTAATAGCCTCCTCCTATCCTGGCTAATATAAGTGACTGTCACTTCTTTACCCATCAGTTTTAGCCTCATTCCATTCTTCTTGTGTTTTAGATAATAATTAAGTTGCCTTGTCATAGAATTATCACTGCTTCCTGCCAGCAATCCAGTCCAGGGCAATGGCCCAAATCCTTGAACTTTCCCCAAATCACCAAACACAAGGCCAAATCCCATGTCATTTCTAATATCCTCTTCCTGAGACATCTCACAATTCCCCATGGTGAGCATTCTCCCTTGTTGCATCAAGTCAACGAACCCAAATTTATCCAACTAGAGATGTGTTCCTGGTGGTCTTCAAAGGGAAAGCATTGACATCCTTAAGAGATTCAAAGACGACAAATAGAATCCAATTTAAGGGGAAGATACAACTCTAAGCCAAACTCCAAACCATTCATTATACATTCATGTATAGTGTAAATTTATTAAAACTAAAACAAAAAGCTGTGAGAATCCCAACTTAGCTGAAAACCAGAATCAAGGCAGCTCCTACAGCAAGCATGTTAGCAATATGTCTAAAAAGAATTTCTCAAGGACTTTTTCCTAAATTTGACCTGTTATGTAGTACTAATCTAGAATTAATCTCTAGAGTTTGAAAGTGTATTAAATTGGCAGCATTCTGAGAGATAGTGGTGATAGAATGCAAAAAAATAAAATAAAAATGAGTTTCTTTAATGGAGAAATGTTGCCAAGGTTCACTTTGTGAGTTCCCCTTTTAAATGTGTTGCCTTCCTAGGCCGGCGAGTGTTGTGGGGCAGGAGGGAGGGGGGTAAGAGATCAACCGAAGGACTTGTATGCATGCATATAAGCATAACCAATGGACATAAGACACTGGGGGGTAGGGGAGGCCAGGGGATTGTCAAGGGTGGGGGGAAAAAAAGGACACATATGTAATACCCTTTGTAATACTTTAAGCAATAAAATAAATAAAAATAAATAAAAAATAAAAAGAAATGTATTCCCTTCTGAAACTTCTGAAGAGCCCCTAAGGCAAGGCCTCTCATAAGGAAGATCTACAGACCACCACTACCACATTGGAATCCCCCAAGAGTTTTTTTCTAGTCAATTCTGGGCTCCACAACAGCCCTACTGAATCTGAATCTCTAGGGCCCTAGAATCTGTATTTTTAACAAGTTCCCTCAAATGATATTCATGTGAGCGAAATATAAAGAATTATTAACCTAGATGTACAGGACAGCAAACTCTCCTCGCCCATCTGCTGCTGTTCCCAAACTGGCTCTTGTTAACCTGTCTTTATTTTATTCTTTTTATCCATGAAGATTTTGCATATCATTCCTTTTTGTGGATGTTTTTAATAAAAATTTTAAATTGTCATATAAAGCATCTGTCTTCCCATCCCCACCCCTTCTTCAATTAAAATTAAAGCCCCAGGAATGTATCATATTTATCTTGAAGCCTGAAGAACCTACCTGGCCTGGGTGATAGGAGTAAAATTCCAAGGGCATTGACTATTTGCTGATTTGTCGTAAGCCTCGTGTCTAGTACAGTACTTGGCACATAGTAGGCTGTGAATATTTGTTAGATAAATGATTGCATATTACTGTGCTATCTTCTTAGGGTACCCATTGTTTCTTAGGGTATCCAGCCCAATTTCATTTGACTGGTCTCTAATTCTATGATTTCTCCGAGCAGTCATTCCACTTAGTCGATCCACTTAGACTGGACTGTAAACCAGTATTTCTAAGGTAGATGGGGAAAGTATAGAAGCAGGAAGGATTAGGGAGGAGTATGAATATTAGAATTAAATTATTTCACAACTGGAGGGAGTCTTATAGACCACCTAGTTCCTATTTCACAGTGAAATAAGAAAGATAAGAATTATATTGAGTCTGTTATGAAGCTAAATTTATTCAATTTAAAGAACAGTTCTTCATTCTGAGACTACAGCCTTCACTACAACTTGGATTTTAAAATGTCCTATTTTAAATGAAGATTGTGGTGGCAATTTATTTTCTTTTTTAATAGCTTCACATGCCAATATTAGAGGTAGACATTCTATCATACCCACCTCCATTTTTCTAACCTATTGGTCCACCAAATCCCAAAGTTAGGGAATTACTGAACAAATAAATATATATTAACTAATAGTCTTATGAGGTAAGCCCTTTACATCAATTATTTGCTATTTCCATCTAAAAAAATTCTGTGTGTGAGAACTATCATCTCCCTTTACAGATAAAGAATTTGAGTCTTAGAGAGTTTAGACTATAAGTGTTAGAGGATGATTCAACCCCAGGCTATATAACCCTTCAAACCACACTTACTAGCCCTCTCTCTCTCTCTCTCTCTCTCTCTCTCTCTCTCTCTGAACCCGAACTCATTAGACAAACCATTTAGCCCCTCTAAAATCAGGTTTCCCATTACATTCATGTGCCACTTAGCAACAGGGATACGTTCTATGCATTGTTAGGTGAGTTCATCACTGTGTGAACATCACTGGGTGCACTTACACAAACCTCGATGGGGTAGCTCACTACACTCCTAGGCTATATGGTGCAGCCTATTGTTCCTAGGCTACAGACCTGTGCAGCATGCTACTGTACTCTATATTGTAGGCAATTGTAACACAATGGTACTTGTGCAACTAAACATATCTAAACATAGAATGGTACAGGAAAAGTATGGTATAAAAGTTAAAAGGGTACCTCTGTCTAGGGCACTTACCAGGAATACAGCTGGCAGTATTGGAAATTGCTCTGGGTGAGTGGCAATGTGAAGGCCTAGGAAATTCCTGTTTACTGCTGTGTACTTTATAACATTGCACTTAGGCTACACCAAACTTATAAAACACAAGATTAAATCTAACACAAGAGAAAATGATGCATCAAGAGATGTGGTAAACACAAGATGAGGTTGCTGCTGGCATTACATGGCACACTGTTTTACAGCAGATGTTTTTTAAAGTAGACATACACTTGAAAATAATGATAAAAAGCATAGTATAGTGAATACATAAACCAGTAACATAGTTTATTATTATAGAGTACAATATATTCTACATAACTCTGTACTATAATTATATGCCTGGCTGTGCAGATTTAACACAAGCATCACCACAACAGTGAGTAATACATGTACAACAACAGATAAGACAGCAATGATGTCACTGGGTGATGAGCTTTTCAGCTCCATTATAATCTTACCAGAGGCTCAGTGCACGAAAATTCGTGCACTCACAGGGGGTTCCTCAGCCCAGCCTGTGTCCTCTGGCAGCCCAGGAGCCCTCGGGGGATGTCTGACTGACGGCTTAGGCCTGCTCCCTAAGCCTAAGCCATCAGTTGGACATCATTAGCACTGCCAAGAAGGTAGGTGCTCCTGCCACCACCGCTGCATTCACAGCTGTCAGCCCAGCTTGTGGTTGAGCAGAGCTCCCGCTGTGGGAGTGCGCTGACCACCAGAGGGTAGCTCCTGCATTGAGCATCTGCCCCATAGTGGTCAGTGCACATCATAGTGACAGGTCATTCCACTGTTAGGGTCAATTTGCATATTACCCTTTTATTATATAGGACTAGAGGCCCAGTGCACGAAAATTTGTGCATTGGTGTGTGGGGGGGAGCAGTCCCTCAGCCCGGCATGCCCCCTCTCACAGTCTGGAAGCCCTCAGGGGATGTCCTACTGATGGCTTAAGCCCGCTCCCTGTGGGGAGCAGGCCTAAGCCACAGTCTGGCCTCCCTCTGCAGGAGGCGACTGGCTGATCAGGGAAGACGACTGGCCCATCACGCCTCTGCTGCTGCCACGGTGCCACGGTGGCTGCCTGAGCCTTGGCCTGGCCCTCACAGCAGCAGCCACCATCCGCGGCTGCAGCTTTGTCTGAAAGGACGTCTGGTCTAATTAGCATATTACCCTTTCTTTAGTATAGATGGGACTACCGTTGTATATGCAATCTTGTAAACTAAAATCAGTTATTTTCCACTACACCAAGTTCCATTCTCTCATTAGCTGTGTGAAGTGATCCAACCTATAAAATATTGCCCAGTAGCTATCAGCTGCATACTTTGACCTTGTTTCCACAGGTAAATTAGTCAGATGCTGCATTTGTTTCTTCAGGAACTCTATTGGTTTTAAAATACCACTGACTAGGTGACACTGTGTCTATCTAGTTCACATTTTGTCCGCACTGAAAATTGTGCTTTTCTATAGATAAGAAAGCCAAGCCTCCAATGTTCTTGGCTCCAGCAATTTTTCCTCAGGAATCCTCCTTGTGTAAGAGAACAATATGTAATGTATATGGTAAAACATAAGGTACCGCCCAGCTGGCGTGGCTCAGTGGTTGAGTGTTGAACTATGAACCAGGTCATAGTTCTATTCCTAGTCAGGGCACATGCCCAGGTTGAGGGTTCTATCCCCAGTGTGGGGCATGCAGGAGGCAGCTGATCAATGATTCTCTCTCATCACTGATGTTTCTATCTCTCTCTCCCTTTCTCTGAAATCAATAAAAACATATTTTAAAAAACATAAGGAACCTACTAAAGATATATTTTCCTTTGGTCTACATTTTCAACTCCCCATTTTATTGTTGCTGCTTTCTGAAAAATTATATCCCTTTCCCCACCCCCCACCTTAGCCTCAAAGAAAAGGCAGGCTAAATTAATATTCCATTGAACTTAAACTATTAAAAATGTAACCTACAATATGAATTACGGTACATCTTTACTATACTGTTTTGTTGCCATTGACTAGAATTGTTGAACTTTATTTACTGACGGGAAAAACATGTAAGAGAATTGCTGGACCACACTCAACCTGGTTTTTTTGAAGAAACCTCTGGATGACACTAAAACAGAAAAATAATGATTCATAAGGTAAATTACTAAAAATGAGGCAGGATTTGGGGTTACCATGACCTAGAGGACATCTACACTAATAAAAGAGAAAGATGCAAATTGACTGTTCCTTCACGATGCCCACCAGCCAATCAGGAGTGAGTATGCAAATTAACCTCATCACCTCCGTGGAGACTGACAGCATGGAGGAGGCAGCTCCCAGAAAGGCCTGCTTGGCGGTCACCGCGGCGACCGGGAGCAGGCAAGCAGGCCCACAGGCAGCTCCCAGCACAGCCTGCTTGGCAGTCACTGTGGTGTGGAGCAGGCAGGCCCCGTAGAGAACCACAGGGAGCGGGCCTAAGCCGTCAGTAGGACATCCCCTGAGGGCTCCTGGATTGGAGAAGGTGCAGGTCAGGCTGAGGGACACACTCCCCCCCA